TACAGTCAACCCTACACGCATTATATACCAAAACTATATCAATTATAGCTAATAAGTAAAAATATGTTATAATATTTTATTATATAAGTATTATGTGTTGTGTAATATTGGGTAATCGAGTARTCCTATGTAAAATACTATATATATAAGATATAACAATAAATTAAATAGATATAACTAGGTGGACTATGTTGATTTATATACATTACTATTCATGCACTACGTACARCGCAGTAGAAACCTTTAGCATGAATGAAATCCTGTGGTTGTCCAGTTCTATACCTAAATTATTATGCTCTAAACAAAAAAATTACCATTTTTTTTTTAGTCACTCGTACTTACATTTTTCGATAAGTCTAATCGTAATAGAGATACACATACGGCCATACATAATACTTTCATAGGCACGATGTATACATATAGAACAATTTAATTTACTATATACCTATAATCTATATAGCATATAATATACCTATATACCTATTCGTCCATGTGCACCAACAGACGTGAACTCGCCGGAAATGATCGTCTCGTGCAACCGGTTCTGATTTACAGCCACTATATGCCAATTCTAACGAAAGACGCCATTTAACTTAATCGCGAAACATAGCTCGTTGACTTGTGAGAGTCCCTCGTGTGTCTGTACACAAAAGCGTTAAGTTGCAAGTGCYTGTGTTGTTTACATTATATACATACACATACGACTATAATAATATATAAACCACGGGTCGTCGAGAAATTAGTTTAGAACTGTATTTATATCRATTATCAAGCTAACATAAAAAACGAAATTTACGAACTTCAACGTGCTATTTTTTATGTGCTCCTTAGTGAAAGTTTTACATCAATATAGTAATGCTTTGTGGATCATGAAATGCACGATATTTACCAATATAGTTTCAAGGTTTTGACACGAATCATTATCATCATTATTATCTAACCGGTTAGGTCCAACTTAAATAGTTATTTCATTCTAAGTTTATTTCAGTATTTCGTTTGTCRATTGATCGTCTAAAATTAATRATTATTTTTTGTAAGGTTGTTGGAACAACGAAATACGTTACAAATATTACATATTTTGCGATCCGCGTTTAATAGCACTTCAGAAATGTTATAGGTATTAGGTACATCGTTGTACATTTTTGTTGAACTATTATAAAAAAAACTAATTAAAATACTTGACTATATTACACAATATAATAATCAGATCCTTGCCGATAACGCTGCTGCTGAACACAAATTAAACAAAAATATTATTTTGGTTGCAGGATATTTAAACGAAACAGGACGAAAAATTAGCCGTTACCATGCCGTCGCTTTTAGAAGCGATMGTAGAGAAGTACGAATGTTTTGAAGATGATACGTTCGATCAGATGCCTATTGCAATATATGTCCCACGTAAAAATCCCAGGAATATGATACCAAATTTATTGGTATTAAATGATTGTGACATTGATTCGGCCGGACAGGAATCCGACTTGAGAGATAAATGTCAAGGTGTTGAAGAATTGGATTTAGCTCAAAACTGTTTGTCTAGATGGAGTGAAGTAAGTCCTACAATTCTAAYAAACAAATTCTATTTATATATTTTGAATGTTAAATTTTGCCTCAGTAGAAAAWATATATATATGGTAATATTATTTTCCCTAAAAGTATTATAAAATATAAAAATTTAAATATTTATTTATTTATTTTTGGTCCGATGCACAATCTTTGAAATACGWCATAGTGCTATAATTATATACTATTAATTCTTTTTAAATATATATAATTTCAGATATTCAAAATATTACATATCATGCCGAGACTGAAATTCGCCAATCTAAGTTTTAACAATTTAAGTTCAGATATAAATAGTGCAGTTGAGGTTTGCGACGACACTGAAGAAACATACCCGTGTTTGAAGAGTATCGTGTTGAATTCTACAAATATAACATGGCGCAGCTTTAGACACATTTTGAAACGAATACCCATGTGAGTTAATTTCAATTTTAAAAGTTTCATTAGATTTACATAAAAAATTCTCCAATAGGGTCGAAGAGATACATTTGAGTATGAATAATTACGATGTTATCGACTTGGATGACGATGAAAATTGTCAACATATTCAAATGCCTTCAGTGAAAAGGTTACATTTTACAGGTACCTAACTTTAAGTGTGCCATTAATATTATTTATTGCTTATAAATTAAATTATAATAATTCCGTGTATTTTTACCTGTTCAGTATAAATACTAAATTGAAACAATATAACGTTTATAGGAAACCCTGTGTCTACGTGGTCTGAAGTATGTAAATTAGGTCGAGCATTTCCAAATCTTGAATCGTTGGTGCTTGCTGAATGCCTCTTGCAGTCACTTATGACTCCACCACCTTCGCCAGATACTCACCTAGGCTTGTTGTCCTACCCAAGGCAAGGGAGTGGATTTTGTAGTAAGTTATTACAAAATGTACGAGATTTTATTTTATTGTAATCGTGGCATTTCGATCTTAAGATATGACGCTGGATTCACCACACGATGCATTTACACATCTCAAATTCCTAAACCTAAACAGAACCTTAATTAGAACGTGGGACGACGTTGACATCCTGGGACGATTTCCTGCATTAAGATACCTTAGGATACAAGGATGTCCGATATTCGAAGTGAGTGATATACATATATTTTTTTAAATTTCTGTAATGGAAATGGGAACTGATTATTTTTGTTTTAGGAAAACTCTGAAAGACAAGAATACACAGAACACGAACGCAGACAGTTGCTAATTGCACGATTACCGTGCATACAAACTTTAAATGGCGGAGCAGAAATTACAGCTGATGATAGAGAAGATGCTGAACGGTTTTTAATAAGATATTACATGGATAAGCCTGAAAACGAACGACCTGAAAGGTAAAAAATAATATTAGGTACTAAATATTAAACTCGTAAGTATTATTTTTACTAGCACAGCTTTTAATTGTCCATTAAAATAAAATAAAATAAACATAAACACATCATTCCATAACAGGTATCTTAGGTTGGATTTTACTCTTGTTTAGTTGTTATTGAACCCACTATTAACTTTTGAATTAAAAATGGCAATCTGCTAACCTATATTTTTAATTTTATAATAACCAATTTAGCAGAATATTTGTATGAAATTGTTGACATATAATTATCAAGTATTATGAAACTAAAAGAAGCCTTGGCCATATATAATGTTACAAGTTATAATTTAATGTAATAAGTTAATAGTTAGTAAAAATTAAGTTAAAAAAGTGGGAAAATAGATAACTTCTCTGCTGTACCTATAGTAGGCGTTTATTGAGCCTCGTTRTTGAGTAGGCCACTGTAATGGATTTATTAAATTTGAATTCAATGATAAATCTATGCATATTATTCTAGACGATGACTGTCTGTCAGCCTACATTACTAAGTACAATTTATTATATGAATATT